GGGAAAGTGAGAAAGCAAGCCACCAGGTCCAGGACTCGAACCACAGTCAGCCATGTGGGAGTCCAGCACCTTAACTATCATGCCACCTGCCGGCCCCCAACACGAGGTTCTTTATGTAGTTGTTCAAGTGTTCCAGCACCACCAAATAATGCCTTCCTGTGCTTTGCAGTTTGTCCTGTCCTTTTGCGTCCATCAAATCTGTCGAACTTGCTGTAGCCCAGCACCCTGGGCTTGGCTGTCCTCCGGTCTCAGACCTGCACAGGCTCCTCTCCTCCGGCAGATCTCAGTTCCCAGATGTTGGCAGCTCTGGTCGCCCCGCTCTGGCCAGTCACCAGCACATTACCTGTTTTCCCTTCACAGATCTGATCTCCATCTGGAATTACCATAATTACTCATTTGCATGGGTTTATTCTTGGCTTCCCCTGCATTAGCCTTGTGGAGTCAGGTCATTTTCTTTTTTTTTTTTTTTTCTTTTTGAGAGATTTTTGCGATAGGATGTGTGTACTTGCTGGAGAGACAGGAAGACAGAAAGCAAGAAATCATCCCCAGGGAGCATGCCACGCTGCAATCCCTTCTCTTGCATTCGCCTCTCGGGATCTTGGGCACATATACATACACACCTGGCATAAGTTGTAAGTTGGCAGGTCCGGGACTCGAACCACGGTCGACTACGTGGGAGTCCAGCAATGCAACCACTACCCCATCCCCCAGTCTCTCAGATCATTTTCTATCTTGTTAACTTCTGTTTCCTCAGTTCTTAGACCACACAATAAATGCTCGGTAAATACATATTAGATAAAATAATGAGTGAGTGAACGAATGAATGGTAAAGCATGCGGTTTCACTACAGTGTCGCAAATGCCTCGCTAAGACCCCGTGAACTGCAAAATACTCAGAGACATGCATGTGCTATAATATACGTGGAAGATTTTTTTTTTTTTAATCCACAAAGGGCATGTGTACATGCCAGAGATGGAGGGGGAATAGGCACCCCAAAAAGGGCGTGGTCACACCGCAATTCCTTCCGCTCTTCTCCTCCCTCCTCTTGGGATTCTGAACACACACACATGCATCAGCATGTTTTCCAGGCTGCCGGGGCTGGGATTCAAATTGCAGGTGGCCATGTGGACTCTGGCTCCCTTAAACACTAGGCTACAAGGCCAGCCCCCAAGTTGTGGTTGCTTTTTGGGTTTTTTTTGTTTTTTAAACATTTTGCTTAAAACACATAATGTGCTTCTAGAAGAAAATGCCTTTCTTTCTCATCAAGCCTTTTCTACCTTTATTAATTCACTAGATGAATTGTTTCTTAAAAATACACAAAACATGGTAGGATTTCTTCTGAAGGAAACTGGGCTTCAGACTCAATGAAAATACAAAATGGATCTCTGATGAACTAGACAGCATTATTATGGCAAGAGAAAAGCAATCATTGTTCTGGTAGTTGGGGCACTGCCAAGTGGGAATGCTGGTAGGTGCTCTCAGGCTGCAGGGCAGGGCCTGCTGAGCGGAAAACAAGCCAGCATTCTCTGGAAAATGCCGTGTTTGGTCTCTGCGTCCCGGGGTGACGTGCCCGGTGATCGCTCGCTCAGGCACTGTGTGTTCGTTTTCCTAACCTCTCTCCCTGCGGCTACCATCTTTCCACCTTTGATCTGTTGTTCCCATCAGTGGCATGTCGTTTGGAAGCATTAAGTACTTAGAGGCTGATTTTCTTACTTAAATATTTATTCACTTTCTATTTGCCCTGTTCCTTTAAAAGTCATAAAAAATGTAGACCTCACCGTGTGGTTCTGTAAGTACACTGAGATGAAGGTGTTTTCTAACTCAGCAAAAGTATGGATTGTTGCTTTTGTTAAAAAAAAAAAAAAGAAAGAAAGAAAGAAAAAATAGAGGAGAAGAACATGGATTTTGGACTGTGTTAAAGGTCTGTGGTTACTTTGCCAAAGGGATGGTCAGTCTTATTCGTGTCAAATCAGTATCAGAAAGTCAAGGGAGAAAACAACTCCCTGCCCCCCTTGAGTCCAGCAGATGGCATAATGGTTATGTCGCTAGACTTCCACATAGTCGAGTGTGGTTCAAGTCCTGGACCTGGTGGCTTAAAACTCACACCAGGTACATGTGAGTGCCTACCCAAATCCTGAGAGGAGAATGGAGGAAAAGGGATTGTAGGTGGCCAGCTCCACTTAAGGGTGATTTCTCAATCTCTCTCTTTCTATCTCTCTGGTCAGCTGTGCCCTATAGCAAAAAATCTCTTTAAGAAAGAAAAAGAACCTCCCTCTTTTTCTTAATGCCCCTCCTCTTTCCTGCCCTGATCAAATAGATAAGGTGGGAGACTAAGAATGATGCGAAGGCCAGCAGGTGGCGTGGTGGTTGAGGGTGCTGGCCACATGGCCAACCGCGGTTTGAGTTCTGGGCCTGGTGGCTTGTTTTCTCACTTTCCCTCTCTTTGTCCCTTTCTAGTCAAATTAAAATAAATAAATAAAGTTAAAAATAAAAATAATTCTTAAAAAAAAAAAAAAAAAGAATGATACCTAGCGGCCTGAGGGTGGTACAGCCTCTTAAAGGCCAATCCACATGGGAAGTTTCTGGGTTCAAGTCCAGAGACCTCTGTGGTTATACCAGGCTTGCGCCTGTCCATGATCCCGGCTGGCTTGAGGCTGGGGTTAGATTATGGTATCAAAACTCCACGTGGGTGCTGCCTCACTTTCTCTGTCTGTCTCTCTCACTCATGGAAGAAAGAGATAAACTTTTAAAAAGAGAAAAGCATCCTATCTAGAGAAGCACAGTAGAAAAAGTCTTTCTCGTTGTGGATGTGTGGGTGACAATGCTGGTCTTTACCTTCTCTCAGCAAAAGCATGACCCTGTGTAAGTCATGGGGATGCAGGTCCTCACTAGGTACAAAATGTGGGACCCATGGGCCAGCCAGCCGCATGGTGGTTAAGGCAGCTGTGTCCCATGGGGCCAATGCGGAGTTCAAGTCCTGGACCTGACAGCTTGAAAGACACGCTGGGCACGTGTGTGTGCATGTCCCCAAAATCCCAAGAGAAGACGGGACGAGGGGGGATAGCCA